GTTTCCCCCCCCCCCCAAACTTGGCAACTTGAAGATGTATGGACTTCAACTCCCAGTACTCCCCACAGCCAGCACGGATGGGCTGGCTGAGGAATTCTGGGAGTTGAAGTCCATACATCTTACAAGTTGCCAAATTTGAAAAACCACTGCTTTAAAACAACCTGGCTAGCTGAAAAGTCTGAATAAGGCCATCTATACTGCAATCTTTCATAGCAGGTCTCCAGTCTCCACACCGTTTACAAGACTGTGGGCTGAGCAGGTAGAACGAAATAGGGAGAATGTGGCTAACTCCTCATTTCAGAGCAATATACAACAATATTTGGGCAGCAAATATTGTGGCAGAAACGCTTTAGAAACTGTGGCTAACCAAACACAAACACAAACACACACATAGAGTTCATAATTTCCCCGACCAGGGTGATCAGACCCAAATTGGGGTGTTTTTTTTCTCTCCTGTGCAAACAATGGCAATGAGTCTATAAAGTAAGCCAGATTAAATTCCCAGCCTTCCTGTCAGATGCAGAGGAGCAGGGCCCTTCATTAAGCTGCTGAGAAGAGTTATTCAAGCCTGTGCAAATACTCCTCTACTTACAGCTGTTCGTTTAGTGACCGTTCAAAGTTATACCATATGGGAAGAATCCAGAGAAAGAAATATTTGGGGAACTATTAAAAAGGCAGAATATATTTCCTCAAAGGAATAATGGAGAAGATCTTTAAAAAATGACAGAAATCAGCCCAGCCCCTAGGCCAGTGTTTCTCAACCTTGACAATTTTAAGGCATGTGGACTTTAACTCCCAGAATTCTACAGCCAGCATTGCTGGCTGTGGAATTCTGGGAGTTGAAGTCCACATGCCTTAAAATTGTCAAGGTTGAGAAACACTGCCCTAGGCAGAAGCCAGCTTTTAGAAATGCAAATTCAATAATCCATTCAGGAAAGTTGGAGCTTTCCAGCTAGAAACTGAAGAGATTGGGAAGACAACAAGACTTAAAATCTACATACCCCACCCAAACTCTAAGACAGAACATAATAGGATTAACCCACCAATGCCAAAAGGGCACACTCAGACTCAGGTCAAAGGACATGACACAGGAAATACAAAGCCTCAAACAGGAACAGGAAAAAACCTTAAGAGCCCCAGAAGGTATAAATGCCCACCACTCTGCTCCATGTGGTCAGTTTATTCAGAGCCATCTTTCTGTCTGGCTCTCCTCTTCAATAAACTACAACCTTCTTTCTAAAGCAGTCTCCATTTCATTTGTTCCCAGCTTGGACTGGACCCTGATAAAGATTTTTCTTTCGACAAACAGGACTCAAAAAAGAGACTTATGACTGTTTTTTCACACTTATGATCATGGCAGCATCCCCATGGTCACATGATCAAAATTCGGACACTTGATAACTGGCATGTATTTATGACGGTTGCAGTGTCCCAAGGTCTTGTGATCTCCTGCTGATACCTTCTAACAAGCAAAGTCAATAGGTAAGCCAGATTCACTTAACAATGTTACTAACTTCACAACTGCAGTGATTCACTTAAGAACTGTGGCAAGTAAGGCCGTCAAATAGGTCAAAACTGATTTAACAACTGTCTTGCTTAGCAATGGACATGTTGGGCTCGAATGTGGTCAAGGACTACTATGCACAAGAGTCTAATAAACTTCTTCAATACTTAATTGGCACCAGATACGAGTCAACGGAATTCAAGAGGGCTGGACTTGGATGCTAGACTTGGGTCGTTTGTGGCAATGTAATGATTCTAAGTTGCTGACACATTTAACTCTGTCCCCTAGCTCTGCCTGCATCTCCTACATCTCCAGATTTGTTGGATTACAGCAGCTATGTTCCCTACCCTGTATAGATTGGACCAAACATCTGGAGATGGCAGCAGAAATGTTATTTTACACACTGGAAGGTAGAGGATTCTCCATCAGGCCAAATTAGAAACTGCTTTGTGCAGAAGAACATCTATTTTGAAAACCCTTGGTGTGATTTACAATCTCCTTGCCTGGACAAGCTGCATTTCCTGATTACTAAAAGGAAAAGAATTTTTTTTTCATTCTCCAGCCAGCCTATCTTTGACAAACAGCTACTGAAATCTACACCTCTCTCTTTCTCTGATTTTTCCCAAAGGAAACATTTCCCATCTCTTTCCCAGTGTTTTAGAGGGTTGGTATCACCGTCCAGCCACTCCAGCTATTTGGATCTTACTTAAAGAGGAACACCAGCTAGCAACTTTATTCAGAAATGACCTGCAGATCTGCAGGGCTTCAAGGACCGGAAGGAGAAGGGGAGGAGTCTTCATGCAGTCTCATGGTGAATTCTTAGGAAGTAGCAGGGATTCTTTGTCAAAAGCCAGCAGGGAATTTTCAACTGTGCCCAAATTTACTCGGTTGCTGAGATTCAGGAGAACTTCAAACACTTTACGAAGCTTCTTCGTGGGCCTTTGGATCTAGCCGTGAGACTCAGCTGCTCTGTGCCCCAGCCTCCAACCCTTGATACATAGCAAACACAATTCATGGAAATTGCCTACAAGACGAGTGAGAGGAAGGAGGCCCAGGGTTCAGGCCAAGAGGTGAGATCAGAGGCAAAAAGACAATGCACAGTCAGGCTGGGTGCTTGTCTAAATGGCAACTCACAAGCCCACCTTCCCTTTCCCTGTAACACACGATCATTGAAAAGCAGCGACAGCACCCTCCTGCCAACTCAAGCAAAGTTCGAAGAGTTGGGAAAAAGACTGAGGCGTCAAGGCAAAGAGTGGTCCAATCTTCTAAAACAATGTTTCTCAACCTTGACAATTTTAAGGCATGTGGACTTCAACTCCCAGAACTCCACAGCCAGCATTGCTGGCTGTGGAATTCTGGGAGTTGAAGTCCACATGCCTTAAAATTGTCAAGGTTGAGAAACACTTCTAATATAACAACTTTGGCTGAATTTTGTTCTTTAGGAAAAGAACTATCTCTTCCACTCAAACTCAATCTTTCACAAGATTGCTGGAAACAGTGACTGTCCATGTCTTCTTCTGAGCTGGTTTTCTCAACTGCCCGCTCGATAGCCATGGACATCATGGATATTCCTTCGTGGATGATCCCATCCCATCCAGTCGAATCCAGCTCAACTTCCAAGCCTATGCAAAGTTGTGGAGTCCTCGGTGCTCAGGCACCCCACAATTCCATCCTGAGTTGCAGATATTCTCTTCTATTGCTACACAAAGTTGTCCAGCTATTTCTGCCTGCTGCTGGGACCAAAACACATGGGCAGAATAACGACTGTAATGCAGCTCTGTTGAGAATTGTTTTTTTTTTTGGGGAGGGAGTAATCTAAAGGGCAGGGGTAGGCAACCTTGGCTCTTTTATACTTGTGGACTTCAATTCCCAGAATTCCTGAGCCAGCATGGAATTCTGGGAGTTGAAATCTATGAATCATAAAAGAGCCGAGGTTGCCTACCCCTGCTATAGGGCATGTGGTAGATGAGTCTGAAACAAGCCAGTGAAGGTCAGAACAAAAGTGAGATTATCTACTTTCCCCCCCTTTTGTTATAATATCCATTTTTCTCCTCCATAGCAGCAGGCTGATCTTTTCTGCTAGGAAGACTCTTTTTGTGGTCAGAGAGCTGCTCACCTTTTCTCTCCTGATGCTTTGTCTACCAGCCTTGAGAACACCCAAGAGTTACAGCAAGACGCTAAACAAACTAAGGTAGAAGGAATGCACACAACCCTTACATGCCCAGCATTGTAAACATCTCAGCTACACAAAAAGTGAAGAATTTGTACTGGGAAGCATGAATCAGGGTTTTGCAATATAATGCACAGGTGTGCATTACAAACTGTCTGTTTTTTGAGACAGGTATAAAAAGATACAATTATCTCCCCGGCTGGAAAAATCCCAGGCCTTTTGTCACAGGCAGATTGTAAAATCCTAAAGCTGTCTCCAAGGAGATTTGAAATAACTTTGGGCTTTGCTGTGATCTTCACTACGAGTGAAGAATGACCTAAGTCACCCCTTTTCTTGATTCTTTGATCGTCTGCCACTGAAATAGAGTAAACTAGCATTTCCTCAACAGCTCATTGAGAGAATCTGTGGTGTGTTTTTATTGCCTTTATCTTTTGCTTGGGACCTCAAAGCAACATACAAGAAGAGTCCCTTAATGTTGTTCCAACCACAATCCTATAAGGTAGGCTGGGCCAAAAAAACAGCACCTCACTCCAAATCATCCAGAAATCCTTTGTGGCCAAAGAGGGGCATAACTTTGGTTTAGTTCTATCTTTTTCAACACTTTAATCACTGTGCAACACAACTCTACCTAACACACTAGTCTGTAATAGCATATTTTAAAAAACCCAACAGAGAGTTTTCATCTACTTTTTAAAAGCAACATATTTTTCTTTTAATGTTCACGGAGAACACTTTTTGAGAATCGGCTTCCCTTTTTCCCTTCCATACAGGAGGTAATAAATCTTCTAAAAATAATGTCTTCCACAGGACACATGTAGAAAAATCTCTTGTCTCGCTTGCTTCAGAACAATTGATTTTCATTCTTTGCACGCGTAACTTAGGATATTAAAAAACAAAATATCACATAAACTTACCCCTGGGTTTAAAAGTCTGAACAGATTTAGTAGCTTGGAATCTGCCCAGAGAAAGGGTCTCTCAATTACACTACTCTGTGTATTATTTAAATAGAAAAGCTGGAGGAATATGTTTTAGCTTAAGACTGAATTCAATCTTTGGATTTAAAAAAAAAAAAAACCTTTGCAGGAAAAACATTCAGCGCAGCTACTGCTTTTCAGTCTCCAGGTCAACTGTGCGTTCCCACAATGGCTTGTTGGCTTGGGTTTTGGCAATGTTGTGTGAACCAAGCCCATGTGGTCAGTTCAAGCAACCGTGATAGAAATACAGTTTAAGAAGATCCAGGATCCCATGCACCAAGCATGCAATGCACCAATTAGAGCGTCTTATCACCCACTACTTGTCCGTCGCTCGACCAGCTTTCTCTCTTACCTGCTCTGTGGAAAGCCACAAGCAAAGATCCTGTCTTCTCCATAACCACCGAACCCAGAGGCTGCAACTGATGGTCTCCACGGGTCATGCACACTAGAAACTCCAACTGTTTCACAGCAGCCCACTTTCGGCAGCTTCCTGACTTCCAATCTTAGCTTGCAGCAACAAGGAAATCTCTGCCACAGCCAGACACAAGTCCCAGATGGGTCCCTCCACCACCTCTGAGCCAGCAAACCGGGAGGGAGGGAGTTGCCCCCTTTGTTCCCTGCTGGAGCCTGCTCAACGCCCTCCCCCACGTTCAGCAGCCCCTGGCCGGAGAGAGGAAGTCACCAGGACTTGGATGTTTGAGTCAACTCCGGCTTGCTCATTGTCACTGCCTCGTCCAGTCTTCCTTCCTAGCAACAAGAGAGAGCGGGCAGATTCTGAGCCGGTCGGGAACTCGGCCATGATTTTGACTTTCCCAAGTTTTGAAAAAAAACACCAGAGTTTGAACCCTGAAAGCATTCTGGGCTAAGTAGGGTGCTACTTTGCCTGGAAAAAAACTCAAAAGAAATTGTGCAAGATTGGAAGAAGCGGAGAGACCTGTCCCATAAAATTGCCAAGTGTCAGACACAACTGAATGGATAACATCCTCATCAACATTTTAAGAAGACGATGGGTGCTCCTGAATTCATTTCCACTGATGTTCCCAGACAGCTCCTTCCATGGAGAACCAAAAGATCTGTTTTGGAAAGTACAGGTAGAAGCACAAAATGGTGTAGCGATCCTTAATAAGGTGGGTAAGTTGAAATGGCTGAGTAAATACAAGTGTACTTTTCAAGTAGACAGCTATTTGAAGTTACAACTGCCAAAACACCTTAGGCAGATATTTACGCGAGCGAGATTTGAACAGCTTGACACAATGGTCAGATATGGGAGATTCCATTCTATACCTTACAATGAGCGTCTCTGCATTTGCGGAGCGGCAGAGGTAGAAGACCTGGCTCACATACTATTTGATTGTTGACTGTACAAGAGGGTGAGAAATAGGTAACTTGGTCTATATACCAAACGAATGACTCACCGGGATCCCCATATCAAAACAACTTACCTTATGTGCGGCCAGAACTTGAAAATAACATTTAAGGCAGCACAGTATTTAAACAAAATGGTTCGGTTGAGACCTGCATACGTGGGACTGATTGGGGTAGATTGCAAGGGTGACTCCAAGATATAATTTTATCATATTTTATCTATATTTTAAATTACTGTACTCTATTTTAATTTCATTTTAGACTGTATTTTACTCCAGTTTCATTTTAAGTCGCATTTTACTCTAATTCCATTTTAAACTGTATTTTATCAAATTTCATTTTCAATTGCTTTTATCAAACTTTAGTAATAATTTGTTGCTGGAACTTTGCATTTTGCATGGCCCAAGGGCTAATCAATAAAGATTATTATTATTATTACAGGTAGTCCTGGACTCACAACTGTTCATTTAGTGACCGTTCAAAGTTACAACGGCACCGAAAAAGGTGACTGATGACCGTTTTTCAAAGTGACAGCCTTTGCAGCATCCCCATGATCAGGTGATCAAAAATTGGATGCTTGGGAACCGGTTCATATTTACGGCCGTTACTGTGTCCCAAGATCATGTGATCCCCTTTTGTGATCTTCTGACAGGCAAAGTCCATGGGAAAGCCAGGTTCACTTAACCAGGTTACTAACTTATCCACCGCAGTGATTCACTTAACAACTGTGGCAAGAAAGGTCGTAAAATGGAGCAAAACCTACTTAACAAATGTCTCACTTAACGACTGAAAGTCATGGACTACTTGTTGTCTGGACTTCAGGGCTTCCAGCTGCTGATTATATCAACCAAGAACATCTACTTGATGTGTAGACAACTCCACGCATTCCCAGTGGAACCCGTGAAACATTATCAGAATAGTGCACTGTGGAGATGATCCATCCCATCTCTTCTGTCCATTAGCAATGCAATAGTCCTCAACGTACGACCACAATTGACCTCAAAATTTATATTACTAAGCGAGACATGGCTGGCTGGGAAATTCTGGGGGCTGAAGTCCACAGGTCTTAAAGTTGCCAAGTTTGGGGACCCCTGAGGTAGGAGATGGTGGAAGAGGCCTTACTCCAGAATAGAAGACAATGTTGAATCGAGGAGATAGTCGGACTTAGTGACCAGGTCTGCACATCACACAAAGCTAAGACTTCTTTAACTACAGTGTACTAAATAAATCATAATTGCTGGCTTTTGCGTACAAGGTTAAAGACATAAAACCATGGTTGCAAATCTTCATGACCACATACATATAATTGAGCTAAGTCATTATGTCTGCTGTTGGTTTAGAGCTTTCTATGTTACATGAACTGTAAGTCAGTCTCCATTTAGCTCAATAAATAAGAAATAAGAATAAATAAGAAATATCTTATAAGCTAGCAAGAAGAGCTGTGATGGGTTTGGCACCCCAACAGGCTAACAAGGAGGAACTGAGAAGGTAACGGATACCCCAAATGCTTCCTCCTTCCACTCCAACCATAGGCGTCTACACACACACACACACACACAGAGAGAGAGAGAGAGAGAGAGAGAGAGAGAGAGAGAGAGAGAGAGAGAGAGAGAGAGAGAGAGAGAGAGAGAGAGAGAAGATTGTGCTAAACACAGAATCAGGGTTGTTCTCCCCAGAGAATGAATTCAGTTGCTTAAAACTTCTTTCTGGCAATTGGGAGTTTAATCACTGCAAGGAAAACACCTCCCTGGAGCAAAGTCATTCTTTGAGAGCTTAGTACTCATGCATGGCCCAAGGGCCCTTAGTTAAAAAATGTCCTCCTCTCCTATCTTTGCAGAAATGAATTTTGAGATATGCACCCAAGGCTATAGGTATTTCACAAAACAGCAGCTGAGCCACTTGGCTCTATCTATCTTTCAATCTCGCTTTCCTTCATGTCTTCAGATTGCTGGAAATCCTGCTTCGCTGCAACTCCCCTCCTTTTGGCTTTCCGTGATTTCACCAGAAATGTCCTGCCTGCTTTTTTTAGGCTCGGTTTTCACTGCCTTGAGGGAAAGAAACTTGTTTTCTTTTTAATAGCTGCTGAAATTATCAGTAGATTCTTCCCAATCCCGATCCTGTACTTAATTGTAAAGTAGACAAACTTCACGTTCCATTCAGTTGAGAACTACACATGAAGAGGAAATTGGAAAAGGGGGAAAAAATGTAGAAATTGAGGCCACTTGGGGCTGGAGGTGGCATGAATTGCAATAGTATCCCCCCCCCCCTGCTTTTTCCCCTGTTTCTCACGTGGAAACACAACATCCCCGGAATGAAACTGCATCCTGAAAAAGCATCGCTGCGAAGTTGGACTCAAGCAAAATGAAACTAGGAGAGGAAAAAAAGGAGAAACAATATTGCAAACTCTGGCTTCTGCAAAAGGTCCCAGCAACACCCTTCATTCCTAAAAGATTTTTCCCAGATCAGTAGTGTCCAAGTCTAGGGCACGGTGCTCATCTCCATTTCTTGACTAAGGGAGCCAGTGTTGTCCGAAGACCATTTCTGGGACCATGTGACCAGCATGGCTATACGTCAACGGCATACGGAACACTGTTACCTGCCCACTGAAGTGGTACCTATTAAACTACTTGCATTTGCGTGCTTGTGAACTGCTAGATGGGCAGGAGCTGGAGCAAGGAACAGGAGCTCACCCCTTTGCGTGGAGCTCGTGTCTCAACCCTAGACTGTCAGCTCTCCAGCTGAGAACTCAGCGTCTTTTAACCTTCATTCCCAAGTCCCATGAATTTAAAGGAGGACAGCCCTTCCAACTTTCTCGGGGAAGGGCTTGTGCAATTCCTTGGCACCGGAAGGCAACTTTTGACACCTCCAAATCCATTCAATCCCTCTCTTCAAGGCTGGACAAAGCAGAGAAAGGTGATCCGAATTCTTTGCAGCGCAGATTCAAAAGGATGCTGGAATTCTTTCGCCTTGGGCTCTCTGCCCTGCATAGAAACACCTTACAACGGGGGTCTGTCCAACCGTGGCAACTTTAAGACTTGTGGACTTCAATTCCCAGAATTCCCCAGCCAGCCATGCTGAGTTGAAGGCCACAGGTCTTGCGGACACCCCTGCATTAGAAGTTGAAAACCAAACTGAACTCGCTTGCTTTAACCTCCCAGCCATCAATGGTCTTTTAAAAAAAAGGGATGGAGCTGGGATGATCTTTTACATCTTTCTCTGATTCAACATGCAAATATCTTTTCCACAGCCCAAGTCTTTCCAGCTCTCTTTCCCCCACCCACCCCCAATTGTGGCTTAAGCTCCACTCCCCTTCACCTGCACTGCAGGAGGCAGGTAGGAAAATAAACTCCCCAATCTACAGCCAATCAGCTCAAGTATCACTTCCGCCATCCTGCTCACACACCTTGCGATTTGCTGGCTGTGCCTGCTAATTAGCAGGCTAAAAGCAATCACCCGGGCACCATGGCAACAGCTTACAGATCTCCCACCCACCCACCCATCCACCCACCAATGCCTTTTGGATGAGTTTTGTTTCCATAAGAAGCCTCTTAAAGGCAACACCCGCCTCGAAGATGGAGGGGAACAAAAGGGAGGAAGGTGGGTGATTGATTTGGGGGGGCTGCTCCTGATCCCTCCCCCCCTTCAAGGATTGTGTGGCTCTGCATTCAGCTGGATGTCTGTTCAGTTTTGTGAATGAACGCATTTGTGCATCTGCATGCATTACTTAATCTAATAACAATAGGTGTAACAATAACAATAAAGATATTGAGGATCGGTTTTTTTGCATGCCAATTCCCTCTGAGGCCATTACTTAGAAAATATCAGGAGAATAAAAGAGAATATTTGTAACTCAGGGTTGAAATGAGGGGTCCGTGGTGCTCTCTGAACTTGTTTTCTTGCAAATGTATCATTACCTAAACTAGGTAACACCCAGTGGTAAAGCCCACTCCTCCTAGCATTGGTGGTGTTAGCTAGTGTGGGTAACGACATGTCTGCAAGAAAACAACCATGCTCAGAAAGCACCAACAAAACCTCAACTATCCGGAGAGAATCTAACTTATCTTGGTTGATATCAAGAAGAATTAAGTATAATTTGAATGGGACTATCTGATTAGTACTGGGTGGGAGACCACCAGGAAATCTCCCCAATGTTGGCTACAAAAATACATCTAGGAAGAGGGTAACATCAATTCATGTCCACACTGTTCCCAAGAAAGCTTCGTAGATGTTATTGAGTTCCTTAGCTCTTGGAGATCATTCCAACCAATGCTTTACAAAGAAGAGATTCCATTTTTTAATCAGGAAACCTCAGCAAACGTCAACCCAGTCAGACTCTTCATGAAGGACATGTTCATAGTTAACTGATCCATGGTCTACTCAATAAACCCTAATTCTGGGTTTGCTTGGGACACTTGGAAGGAGACCGTGCCAGCTGGAATCTGCAGAACAAGAGGGGCTTAAACATGCTCTGCTACAAATACATTTTATGTTCCAGATTTCTCTCTTTTAGTAAAACCCACCACCTTCCAGGGAAATCTGCTGAAGAGATCTTGCTGTCTGGAAGGTCTTCATAATGTGTAATCCAAATCCTCTTTCTTGTCATTTGAATCAGAGGGCTGTCCATCTCCTTTTCTGGAGCCGCAGAGAAGAAAGCTGCTTCCTCATCTTCTGTGATGGTCCTTCCGGTATCTAAAGAGGACCATCATCTCCCTTCTCAAGTCACTTTTCTCCAACCAAGCCAAACCAGCACTTTCAACCTCTGGGGGTTCCTTTGTCCCCCACTTCATTGACCATGCATCTCACAGGGCCATTTAGTAGTCATCGTTTAGGGCTGGGTATCAGGAAGAACCACAGTTCAGTCCATCCTTGGTCACCAAAACTTTCTGGGTGACTTGGGGCCAGTGATTCCCTCGCAGTCCAACTGACCTTGCAGTGGTGTCCTTATGGGAGAAAATATGAGGAGGAGTGGTATTTATTTACTAAATTTATTTGCTGCCCATCTCCCCACGAGGTATATACACCCCTTTGAGAACCTCAAAATAAATAAATCAATTTCTTCAAAGAAATTGTTGAGTAAGCTGGGAGCTGTCTCAAATAGTCCCAACAAAGCAGAGAATAATGGTCTTAAGGAAAAGGACCTTTTGCTTAATTGAAGCAATGGAAAAACTGCATTATGTACAGATCCACAACATTCAGCCCTGATGTTGCTAAACTGCAATTCTCAGCAGCCCCAACAGTGAGATATGT